ACAAAGAAACAAGTTCTCAAAGCACCTTTCAATTAATTTCATTCAATATGAAAAACTAGCATGAAATATTATTATTGAGAAATATTATTATGACAAGCATAAAAGTAGCATGTAATACAAAATCGGTCAGTAGTACTAAACCCTTTTTAGGAAATAAATTATAAGTAATATTTTTTTATTCATTAGTATTCAAATTATAGTTTCACTGAAGATGACAAACAATATTGTGTCGAACATCAAAGATTTTCATAATTATTTGATTCTTGTTTGAATTCAAAATTAAGCTAAATATTAAATAAATAAATAGTACGTTAAATGCCTGTATATAATATCAGAAATATATTCTTTGCCTCGCTTTGTATAAAACATGCTCTGCACTTACATTGTTATAAATCCTCTACAGCAGCTAGCAGAACACAAAACTAATACATGAATCACCTCTGGAGCATCTGCCAGAAATCTCAAGTACTCGACACAAAATCACTACTTTAAAACCACTACATAACTTTGTCTTTTACAAGTCTATTTGACATTTTACAATTGTCCGAGTAAATTCTCTACGAAACACGCAAGACACGACTTACATTAGAGACTTTTGTGAACTTAAAATTGAATAAATAGATATGTGGAAATGTGCTACCATAACCTACAAAAGTATACACATTCATATATAAATTATACAATTGCTAATTGCATATACATAGATAAAGGATACATCAGCACTGAAAGTAAAAGGTTTAATTATAATATTAATTCGAAATGGGGGTCCTGAAAGAGATAACTATTACTATTCAAGGTACACCTATGCATTTCCACACATATCCATTTTTTTAACTTTTTACAAATGTTGCACGATATATTTTTTATGTCAGATTGATCTACAGATTTAATTAAACGATTTTATGCATAATTTAATTAAAACTAATCAAGGATTTAATTAAAAACTCTTAATTAACGCGAGATTAAGATCATTCACAAAAATCTCTTGACATTTGAAGCAATTGAAGTTAGCAAATTGACCGCTGCCCCAATCTTGTACAATTTAAAGCGCGAAATTCAAACAGAAAATTTAATCTGCAAATATTATGAAGTATATTTGTTTAAAGTTAATAAATTTGCTTGAAAATATAATTTATTTCAGTTAAAATTGTTTATAAAATTATTTTAGCTCATTCATAAATATTTGATTCCAATTTTATACTTGAAACGAGCTGAAAATATAAATTATATACCATAAGCTTTTATAATATAATAATAATAATTTATACAATTATTGAAGACCCAAATACAATTTTAATTGCCAGAACATAATTATTACTAACTAAATTAATAAATATTAACTTGATTACTATCAATTACATTTTAAATCTAGATAAATAAATGGACATATATTGCATTGCATTGCACATCATTCTATAAAGATCATTTACATGAAATACTTGACTTGATTTGATAAAAAGACAATATAACGAATATCATATGTAACTAAAGCTAGTCTTTAAACATTTACACTGTACTTTCACTTCTTCTCAAAGATATAAAGGTAACTTGCTTTTTACATCATTATAATATTCATTCTTGCATCTTCCTTATTACTTATTCAAGATGTTGACAGATTGTTTCAAATCTATTTCATCAATGGGTGTGAATCTGTAACTGTGAAACTGTGAAATGCCCAGTGGACCTCTTCCAACGCAGACTTTAGGAGTACCTTTAACTGGACCTCTAAATACATATGTTAATTACATTAAAATATTTTAATTATATTTTGATAAATATACTTTAAGGCAAATTAAAGTTGTCTGTGCCAGCAATAATATTCCTAGTACTAATACAATTTATTATATTATTATTACAAATTATTTTTTCCATTATATGAGATTCCAAGTTTTTTACCCTGAACATCATGCTTGTTTATCTATTATCCTAAGTTTAAGTATAATCCTTGCAAGTTGAATAATTTATATAAAATTTCACTACAAATGTGATTCAATTCCATATAAAGTGTATATTGATTATTTGATATGAACAAATACTATATCAAAATGATCAGTAATATTTACATAAAATTATTATTAAAATATTTGTTATATTAAATAAAGTTGTTTAATTGTGATCATGTGATAATAAAGCTATTTCAACTCTAAGAATAATTAATTAATAAGTCGCGACTTGACCCTACTATCCCTTTGTTGTAATATTGATGCCGTAATATTTTTTGGGTAGAAATAATTATGAACATGATTACATATTTTTCTATAGGTGGTTTTACTGCAGTTAATTTGTTTATATATGATATTTTAGTTATTCATTAATGAATTAAAAACGTAGTCTATTAAAACTTACTTCAAATTTGACCATTTGTAATTTTGAGATTTTAGCGAACTCATTATGCTTTGTATTAAGTGTAGAATTTGATAATCCAAAAAGAAGCCAGCATCATTAGCCAGTTAATTCAGAAATAGTATCTTGGAAAACTTGCTAACAGAAGTTGAATGTGTGCTATATTTGATCTATAATTGATAAAAATTAGAGATATTTCAAATCTAAATCATCAATACAAAATCTTAAGTTTATTGCTACATTCATGAAATGTATTTGTATATTAAACCTAGGTGAATTTCCACCATTACTGATTTTACAAGTATAAGCACTTTTCCTCAGATTCCCTCAGCCTTCCATAAATACTCAAAGAATAAGGAACAAATTCTACTGGATATACTCATACATTCAACATCTAGATAAGCTACTTCAGCTACTTTCCTAAAAATTTAATAAGTTATAAAAATCAAATAAAATGATAGATTGAAATAATAAATTTCTTTTCTTCCTTAAGAATCCTGTTCTGAAATTGTGCAAAGTGATCTCCTTTGAAGCGGTTTTATCCTGAAGAATTAACCGTGCGATGAATTGTCTATTATAAACCGCTTCAGTCGGTGATATTTTTCTTGCATTCAATATGTTTCTCCATTATTCTTTATAGGTGTATTTATAGTAATTGTTGTATATAACTTGGTGTAATTATAGTAATTTAGGATCATTAACGTACAGTAAATGAAACGTGTGCTATATGTCGTATAAAATCTTAAAGCGTCTTGCAACAATGGACCATTCCTTTTAATATAATTGTTATAGTATTACACCAAGTTGTAATACCTTTAACTATAGCACTAATTGGCCCTCTAATAGATCCTCGTTAAAGGATTTAAAGTGTAATCATTCATTCATAAACTGGCTTTATGAGTAATGCGAAACTAGAATTAATTAAAGACCACAACTACAACAAAAACTTTAATAATTTAATCTTGATTGAGATGCATTCTCATCAACGGTCACACGATAAATGATTTTGTAGCTGTCAAATTGTATCCGGCGCGCAGAATGCTCTATACTCTTCTTTTATCTATGTATGTAGCAAGAAAGCGAGGCCAACCAATCAAAAAGCAGGACGAAATTTGTCAAGAAACCAGGACCGTATTTTAACTTTTACATTTTTTAAATAAATATCTAAATTAATTTAAAAATCATTATAATAATTTTACTTGCTCAGATAATACTTATAAATGTATTTTCATTTTTAAAATACGCTGCGACTAACTAATAACAACAGGATATTGTAAATATTAAATTTTTGAGAGAATATTGGCGGAAGGTCAAAAATTGTTTTATATTTGCACGAATAACTAAATTGTCTCTTATAGTAATTGTCTTTTATACGATGCCTATTTACTATTCTTTTAAATGTTTATACAATAATATTAATGTTAAAATACCATTCCCATCACCAAAACTTATTAAAATATCCCAAAACAATAAATTGACATTTTTAATTTAAATAAATATTCAAAATAATTACCCCTAACATTTCAGCAGACGGTCCTGTGCGATAGGAACGTGCTGTCAAATTCAGAATTGTGACTGTTCCCCTGGCAGAATGACGAGATTTTGTATGAAAAATTAATTTTGCCGAACATTTATCGAACTGAAATGCATTCATACTACCAGGGTAGCAGACGCAAATCCGAAGAGGGAATTGCGTCAGTATTGCGCAGGGCCGCCTACTAAAATGTTAGGGGTCATTATTTAAAATTTTAATTTTTGAATGTTGAATTGATTAATAATAAATAGGCAAAATAAATTATGTGTTTAATCAATAAAATGGATATCACTATGAGTGGATGTTATTAAATGTTTGTAATTGATTAAAAATAATATTTATATATGGTTAATATTAATATTGTTTATCAAGAGGAACCTGAAAAATTTATTAAATCACGTATATTTTACAATAAAAGAATCAAATTAAATTATTTATACATTTTTTATATAGTTTCAAAATATTACAAATATAATTTGATAACAATGTATAACTTTAAAACTAATATATAATTTGTCCAATATGTAATAAAGTACATCTGAAAAATAAAATTTCATTTTTATTAATATATCACAATCTATTGCATTAATTGTGCAATTTAAAATATCTATTTAATACAGATCATTATTACATTCATATACATTTTTCTAAAATGCATTTTTCCTTGCTTTCGTAAAAATATTATATGGATCTTCACTTTAAATATAGAATAGAAAAGTAAGTAAATCTAACAAGAATAAGTGAAAATTTGTGACCAAAATTTTATAGGTACATTCGTTTTTTTAATTATCTAAAAAATTAAGCTTATTTGTTTAATAAGACACATTCAAAAAGTTTAAATAATTAAGTTACAATAAGAATTGTACCTACATCTTGCCAGAACATACTGGCACTTTTTTATCTTAACAATATCAATATATTAATTTAATTGAACATCATAGGTTGTATAAAAAATTGTTTCAAACAGTTCATAAAAAATTCTATACAATACACTTTACAGGAAATACTTCACTGGACTAAAACGTCAATATAAAAATACATAACTAAAACAAGTTCTTAAAGTTTACACTGTCGTCTCACTTCTTTTCAAAGAAACAACAACTTATTTGCTCCAACTCCCTTTGTAGATAATTATAATATTCATGCTCACATATTTATTATTATTCATCTTTTTTCATAGCCTCTGCAAGATCCCATATTATTTCAACTTTGCTTAAATGAACTAGATAGAGAAAAAGGTGGCAATGGAGCCTGTAAGAAACTCAGAGAGCTCCAGTTGAAGGTATTCCAAAAGTCTAAGCTCGAAGTGGTCCATTGTAAGATTGTAACAACTCAGAAGATACTCAGGAGTCAGGATATCTGAATAATAATGAACAAAGTTTAGTTGTAATCATGAATAATCAAATGTACTTCTACTAGCAACATTAATTAAATAATTAGCTATATCTTTATATTAAATATACACAATATTGTATATATATATAACAAATGTACATCAATATCAATTATCAATTCATTGACAATTATTTAAAACTAAGTGTTGCTTTTATACACCTAAGAACACAAAATTCGATATTCAGTTCTGCAAAGTACTTGATGAATGAATTTTGCATTATGAAAAGGACTGTAAGATTTGTAAGTACTTATAAGCTGATTCAATAAAGAATTCATCCAGAAATACTTTTAGCACACAATTCAATCGATCATCTACATTCATCTATATTCACTTGAATTGACTTCTGTACTATTTACAGCACTACAGTGCCAATTCAGTAACTATACCTATTCAAATTTTTGTATTTTTCATATTCATATTTTCCTATGTAACTATAACTATTCATATATTTGATATTTTCTTAAATTTTTGTGAGTGAAAAGTACATTTGCGCAAAGTTGGGATTGTTAAATAAACGATGAGATTTTCCTATTGTTTTTAAATATGATTTATTCAAATGATACTGATGATTTTATATGAATAAAATTGTAGAATTTCTTATTGTTTTGAAACTGTAGAAAACTAAAGCAATTGGTTAATTAATTGAAAAATATAATTGTAATTGTAGTTGCATATTTAAGTTCTCATTTGAGTATTCAACGTTAAATAATAGTACAAAAAATGTTGTCAAACTTACTCAAAGCTGTGTTTTTCTATTCTTCATCCTTGTTTTTCTCTTCACTGGATATTTCTGGGATGATAATTAAATGGAATTATCACATAATTCATCAATAAGTATATCATATTTGAGATAAATTATTTATGTACCTTGTTTTTTCTATAAGTTATTGCAACTGCAAGACAAATGTACATTTATATCAAAAATGCATTTGAAATAACATTATATAGCCTATCTATAAATTATTACTATTTACGGATGATATTAATTTTTACTTTTATAATGAAACTTTGATAATTATAACATTGTAATGATTGTAATGTTTGGTTTAAATAAATTACATTAAAATAGGAATTAATATGAGAAATATGAAATAATAACTACATGATTTCCATTTGAAATACATATAATAATAATCAATGTGTACTGAATATTTAAATGTATAATTGTATATGTAATTTATATATTCAAAGAATAGCTCGAAGAATGTTGGTGATGTTATGTTTTTAAAACTGAAGTTTAATATACTAGATTAAATTGGTTAATTTATTGAAAAATATAATTGAAATCGTAGTTGAATATTTAAGATTTGATTTGAATAATATAAATTTTACATGCAACAAAGCTTACTCGAACCTGTGATGTTCTATCCATCATCCTTGTTTTTCTGCTTAGAATTTAAATAGAACGAAATGGTATGCCATTACATTATCCATAAATATATCATATTTAAGTTAAATTGCTCATGTTCCTTGTTTTTTTTTATAAGTTATAAGCACCTGCAGTAAGAATACACATTTAAATATACAATTTTCGTAGAAACTAAGTCAGCTAGAATACATCTAATTATGTATAAATTAAATATCCAATTTCCACTCAAACCAAAACAGCTAGGTTCACATCTAATGAGGTAGATTTACTGTATTAAATATAATATGTAGATTTATATATCCAAATCCCATACAATATGCCACTATTGTTTTGAATTCATATTCACTTGTCGTCGAAGAACTGTCAAACGTTTGACGTTTGGTCTGTGGCGCCATCTGACACAGAACCATATGAACCTGGTAGTCACTACGTAGTTCCCAACAAACTGGGAACGATTTTGCATAGAGGCGCTGCATGCAATCGCCTCTATGAATCTAGGAATCTTATTGGATTCCCTTATATGCTTTTATATGAATTCAACTGGACGTTAGTTCCTCACGAACTGGGAACGATTTGGCATAGAGGCGCTGCATACAATCGCCTCTATGAATCTAGGAATCTTACTAGATTCCTTTATATGCTATTATATATAATTATTTATACGCTTATATATAGGAGAAATATCAATATATACATTTATATATTGCTTTATACGCTATTAGATATATAATTATGGCCCCGGTTTTGAAGGAATATCAAAATATACATTTATTTATCCTTTTCCCATACAAACTAAGGCAGTTAGTCCAATTATAATGATGGGAAAATCAATATATACATTTATATATCCAATTTTGATACATACTAAGGCAGCTAGTCCAAATATAATAATGGAAAAATTAATATATACATTTATATATCGATTTTCCATACAAACAAAGGCACCTTGTCCATACATAATGATGGAAATACGATATATAAGTTCATATATCCAATTTACATATAAATACGGCAAAATGAAAGTTTAAATGCTACAATTTTTTAATAAATATTCTTAACTGCAAGTTTGAGTTTATTCATATATAATATTATATAACATTAATTTTTATAATACAAACTCAATTTATCAATTCACAAAATTTTATTGTTCTACAGGCAAAAGTAAGATTACAATAATGTATATATAACTAGCCAATAATAAATAACTTTAAAACTAATATATAATTTGTTCTATATGTAATAAGCAACAACTGAGAGATAAAATTTTATTCTTATTATATTACAGTTGATTGTACTAACTGTGCAATTGTAAAATATCTATTACATACATATACCTAACTTGGAAAACAAGCAATTTGAACACATTTTTCATGTCTTTGATAAAGATGTTCCTTAATAAAATCTTTAAGTCGTACAAAATTAACACTAATAACCAAAATAAAAACTATAGTAACAGTAGAAAAAAGTAGTAATGGAAATAAATAAAAATTTGTAACCAATACTATACAGGCACATTTGTTTTTTTAACTCTCAAAAATCAAGCTTATTAAACACACATATATTCTAAGTTGTATGTACGTATGTATGTATTATTATCCATTCAAATCTCAATAAACCACTTGTATTGTATTGAACAACATGAGTTACATAGAAATTTCCGTTGTAAAGAGTTACAACAATATACTATATACTATATACTATATATATATATATATATATATATATATCATTTACAAGAAATTAAATTGAATTGACCAAAAGTCATTATAAAGAGCATCATATATAACTAAAACTAGTCTTTAAACATTCACTCTGTCGTCTACTTCTAAACGGTCCAGAGGCAATTCGCTTTTTACATCACTAAAATATTCATGCTCAGATATTTCATCTTCCTTATTCGTACTCCGAAGGTTACTTCCAGTTGAGATGGTCCACTGTAAGGTTCTGTACTCAAAATACTCAGGATAGTCTATTGCAGACAGAAAAATCTGGATTTTCTAAATTTTTTAAATCTCCTATAATAGAAATAATTGGGTTGTAATAATATGAAAAATAGTTAATAATGAAATTTTTGGCAGTAAAGTTATTCCTATAAAATACAATGTAATTATAAAAAATATATTAATTCCGACCTTTAATGGTCTCCATGTAATTATTTTATTTTACTAAATATTGTAATGTTATTCTAATAAAATTTCTGCGATAATCATGATATTTTATGAAATGGATTGTTTAAAAAATATTTTACATTGCTTTTTGTAAAGTTACATGTATGCTAACCATTCTTTCTTTCTAGTTATGTGATTTATTGTATTTGTAGGTATATCACAAGATTTAAAATTGGTTACAATCTGATCTTTCATCTTTTCAAGATATATATTTTCATATAAAAAATATCACATACCACCACAACTTTGTTATGGTGCCATAATTATATATTACAAATATTTATATTTTTAAACATTAGTTACCTGGAATTCAGGCTTGTTGGTTAAATTAACAGTATTGTTAACCCTCATAAAGGTGTTTATATCGGAGATGGTCTAAATTATTTCTTCTACATGTATCAAAACTTGTCTCATTATCATTGAAGTACAGTGATAAATCTTCAGAACCTTCGGAAACAGTGTCTTTCCAAGAGATCTATATTTGCAACAGCAAAAGAGTCCACAACACTATAAAATAAAAATTAGGTAAAATTATTGTTGATAAGTATATAGATCTTTGTGAAACATAATATAAATACTATATAATATTCTAATTATTTCTGAACTCAATTCATTCTAAAAGTATTCTAATGGCAAAAACTAAAATATTATTCAAAGTTCATCAATATAAAGGGCAATGAATTGTCAATTCATTAATACACAGTAATGCTTTTACGAACCAAACTTTTATGGGACAAACTAAATTCATTGAAATTGCAGTTGGATAATTAAGTTTGATATCAAATGTCATTTAAATGAATCTTACTCAAATAGTACTAAACAGACAATAATTACTTCACAATCTTAAGCACGGGACAACATAAAATGTTGCAAAACTTACACAAAGCTGTGATCTTCTATTCATCAACTCTGTTTTTCTGTTTATTGTATATTACTGAGAAGGCATCTAAATAGAACATAATGGCATGTCTCTACATAATTCCTCAATAATACATCTCGATTATATTTTTTCATGTTTCTGGTTTTCTTACAAGTCATGAACACCTAGAGAATATAGATTCATCTCAAGAAAAAGCATTTTAAATAATAGTATGTAATCATTTGCTACACTAAATAGTATTTATTTTTACTAAATAATTAAACTCAGATATTAGAAATATATTATAATAACTACATTAATAATCAATTTGTACTTACTGGATACTTTTGATAATCAGGTCATTTCATTCTCTTTCAATAGAACATGTTTAAAACTTAGGATAGGTTCATCTCTTAATTTAACCGATTTATGTTAAAATCATTTTTGAAATTCAGTATTATGTTGATTCAAGATTTCCTTCAGGTGATTAAACACATCAATAATGTTTTCAATAAATGTATGTTATTCCTTCTGTAACAACTAGAATCCTGTACTGCATTAGTGCTCCTTTGGAACAGTAATTTTCCTAAAGAATTAACCATAAATATAAAATATTCATTTCACCAAAAAAGAATCTATAGACTTACATTATGTTTTTTCTGATATTCAATATGCGTATCCATTATTCTCATTTTTCTATAAACTGGCACTATAATTAATGCGAAATTGGATTTATACAACTTCAACATATACGTTAACAATATTCTTGATCCAGATGCATTCGCATCGACTGCCAAACACCAACTGTCAGTCATGTTTTTAGAGCTGTCAAATGATCACAGGCGAACAGCAGCAACAGAATGTAACATGAAATCGAAGCTGACCAATCAAATTGCAGGACGCTATTCACGAAAAAACCAGGACCGCATTTTAATCAACTCCAAATGATTTATACAAATATATAAATTATTTTAAAAATTCCAACGCATGATTATAATAATTTTATTTACTCAGGTATTACTAATGAATGTATTTTCAGTTCAAGAATACATTACCGTTAACTAATAATAACAAAATAAATTCTGTTCCCCATTGTTTATTTAATTACAAAGAAACGACTCGACCGATCTTTACTAAAAACTAAAAACCACGAACATGTGCTTAGACAAAAAATGCATTATCAGGGTCGTATTGAAACAGTTTTAGTTACTTATTTTAAATAAGAAATATAGAATAGACCAAATTTTATCTTGATATATACCTTCAGCTATAAAATACGTTTGTAAACTGTTAAGTTCCAAATATATATATGTAATATATTTACACTTTCATTATTTATAAAAACACTACCTTTATTGAATAAATTATTATTTTAATATACATTTCTATGTAATTTCATCTTTGTAGTTCACTAAACTTGAATAATCGTTAATGATAATTTTGCTTTCTTGAATAATTTGAATTATTAAATAGTGTTAATCGTTTACATGACTTTTATTTTGACATGTTAATGCCATACAATCCTGTAACAATATGAACAACTACTCCATTTAAATTTGATAATCAATTTAAATCCCTTAGTGTGACTTTCCTTACAAAAAATTTCCCCAAAATTTAACGGATTTTTAACGGATAAACATATTAAAATTAGTGTCCATTATTAATATATATAATATTGAATCACGCATTTAATATTTTTAAATTAGGAACCGGTAATTTCAAATTTTGATAGCTACTCTAATATCATTGCGAAAGGATAGGATTTTTGAATAAATGAATTTAAAAACTTAAATTAATTTAAAAAATTATTAATAAATGAGTTTTAAATGAATTAATGAGTATGATATAAAATAAAATAGATAACTTATGTATGATTGTAATTAACTAAATAAAATTAATTAAAAAGCTATTAATTAATGTTTGTCAAATTATTTATGGCTATTGCATAAAGCAACCTAAAATGTTCTATAAATTACGCAACCATGTTTAAAAAAAAACAAATTAAATTACTTAAATATTTATTTATATAACTACAAATTACATAATACAAATATACTGTAAAATGTACAAAATATATGTAATTAGCAAAATCACAATGTTTTAAATATATATATATTATTTAATGATTATAATATAACAATTCAATATATGATACAAAGTTTTTAAGGCTAATAATACAATTCAATATATACATTTATATATCCAATTTTCAACAAACTACAACAGCTAGTCCATATATAATAATGGGAATAAACAGTATATAAATCCGTGGATAGGTATCCATGGATTCAACTTGACATATATACCTTGAAATATCTATCTAATCTATTTTCAAACAGTTCGTTAAAAACTCTATAAATTTCATTTACAAGAAATACTGGACTTCAATTGATATATATAGTTAATATAAAGAACATCATATATAACTAAAAGTAGTCCTAACAATGACATATCACTGCTTCTCAAAGGTACAGAAACAACTCGCTTTCCACATTATTATAATATTTCTGCTCAGATACTTTATCTTCCTTATTCGTCCTTCGTAGCATCTGATAGATGTCACCAAATTGTTTTAAATTCATTTTATTAATAGATGTTTGTGTAAACACACAAACTGCGCATGAGGTCTGTGAGAAACTGCAAGAGGTACAGTTAGTAGTATTCCAAAATTATATGTCGGAGGCTGTCCATTGTATAATTCAGCACTCAGAAATCAGGATTGTCTAGTGTTCGCAGAAAATCAGGATAACTACTAATGAACTATATTATTAAATGAAACATTTACAATGTTGATGGCTGTTAATCAAATATTTAAAATAAATTTACCTGACAAAATGAGATGAGATTACATCTATGTAAGCTCAACATTGAGTAATTTATTGCCATAATATTCAGCACATCTGAGTTCTATTTTGAGCATAGATTCATTAATGTGCATTCGTCACATCATTTCATATTTATTCTTTAATTTGCATTCATTTACTTGAAATATTTATTTGTTAACATATTTCAATTCTCACCTGCTTGTTCTTTGGCAGTAAAGAGGTATAAATAAACATTATGATTTCCAAAACATTCCTACAAGTTAGAATATAATTATAAAAATTACATTGGGTCGATCTTTCTGTCTGAAACTAAGTTCATTTAACTATATTATTTTAAATATTAAACAGAAGAAAATAATTAAAGAATAAAGTTTTCTTAATAAGGCAAGAAGATATAGTTACAATCTGGTCTTTCATATTATATATATAATATATATATATATATATATATATATATATATATATATATATATATATATATTGAAATATGTTGATATATATTTTGATCAGTTATTTATAATCGGGCAGTAACACCAAGTTAAAAAACTAAAGTAGTTTTGAAATACTTTATTTATCCATACGTTTCGGTCTTCATCGAGACCGTCATTCAGTGGAAAAACTAAAAGATTTTATATGATGTAGGAGGAAAATAATATAAAGTTATAACTTATATACAAGTACTTACAGAAATTAATTATACAAAAATACACTACACTATTACACTGTGATAAACCAGGCTATTAATAATTGGAACATTTAAACTAATTAATTTTTTTTGACAATTTTTTTTTTTTGGCTTACATTCTAGTGTGTACAATTTGACTAACGTCTAAAAACTGAATGAATTGTGTTTACAATTTTTTGCGAAAGTGTAAAAAAGACCGGCAAACATATGTTTTTTGTAAAATAATAAAATAATAAAAATACATGCTTCATTCAGATATGATGGTGTTTTTGAAATGGTCTAGGGTTATTTTATAGTCATTGCAAAGCGAATTGTTGTCAGTTCTTAGATTTATGGCTGTATCCTTGTGTAAAGATATTAAGCATCCTTCGCTAAATCGTCTTTTAAATAAATTATTTTCGAAATGTAGGATCGTGGGATTGGAAAAATCAATGTTATGTTTGAGCTGATTAATATGATCAGTTAATTGTGTTTTATATTGATTTTTATTTTTAGAATTGTTTTTGTGTTGAGATGTTCTGAGTGTATTGTATATATATATATATATATATATATATATATATATATATATATATTTTATATAAAAAAATTATGCTTCCACAAGTTTGTCTGAATGTATTTAAAAGCTTAAATGCTACTTTATTTATAATATAATTAATTACTTTATTATTAATACTTTATACTTTATTTATAATAATTATTATTCTTCATTCTCGTATTATAATTTACATAAATAATGATACAGTTACCTATATTTATATTTGAAAAGAGTATCATTTGAAAATCAGACTTGGTCTATTCAGGGTAATAGTAACCTTTAGTTAAAGTGTCACACTCGGTTTAAAAACATTCTTCCATTAATATATGAATATTATATTATATAGTTTAGAACTTGTCTCACTTGTCTCATCGAAGTACAGAAATAAGTCTCTGTTACCTTCCTGAACCATTATTTTTCTCTAGAGTTTATATATTTCCAACTGGAGTCCATAACACTGTAAAATAAATATATGCTATAGTATATATATATACTTCTATGTGAAACATATATATTATGTGCACTTATTAATATATATCTTAAGATAATTAATAGAAATAATAATTATTATTTATAAACTATTCTATTCTAAAAGTCAAGCTAATATTTAAACGATATCAATATCCTTGTTGGACCGCTGGACCTATCTTCGTCAAAAACTAATCAGCACGTCTCCTCATCACTAGGAATCGAATGTTTTTTGAACCATTCAAATCGGATAATCCGTACGCCCAAAATCGTCGACGAAAAGTTGTCTCCACACTTACACACACACACACACATACACACATCCATTTTTTCTGAGGTATGCCAAAATGTTCAGAAACCTCTAAAACGTCCACTTATAAGTTATAACTTATAAGTTATACCCTATTATAATATATATATATATATATATATATATATATATATATATAGTATTATAACTTATAAGGGTGTACCCCACGCAAAATTAAAAATATAATATAAGGTCTATGGTCCATAATCATTTTCCATATTCAAAAATAACAACAATCAGATTTGTAAGTGCAAATGGAGCCAATATTATAAATCAAAAATCGCCGATCCGATAACTTTTTGATTGAGTTTAATAAAGTAGTTTTTGTCGAAACCGAATTTTTAATTGTTTAAATAGACGGAAGAATAAGGTAAATCAATCATAAATTTATATTTTTATTCATCATTAAAATAGAAAACAATAATACACATAAGTGTAATGTCTTTAACGATTATGGTTACAATAATTTCTCGCATAATACGCCACTTTCTGTAAGTTTCTGAATTTCGAAACTTGGTGCTTTTATACCGCATAAGACGCGTTTTTAGAAAGATCCATGGAAAATCGTCTTGAAGGAGTTTCACTTATAATCTATAACAAAAGTATTTCCCTTCGTCTTTAGTTTTTTTTGTTGTAAGCATTGTTGTTTAGTTTATGGAGGTATTAATATAATTTAAGTGTATGTTATTTAATTCTTTTATAAGATGTATTGTTAATTTTAAGTTAGATTCAACAGTGAGATAAAAAGTATCAAAGTTAGATTAACCTTGGTGGGATAAAAAGAATCGACTGAATCTTTACTCTGACAAAGGGGTAAACAACAAAAAAATAGTGAATTAAAATGTAAATTCTGTTGAAAAAGGCAGTTGTACAAGAAATAAATTAAATAAATAGTTATATTATAAATATACACTACATAAACCAAATCATTTCTAATTTATAGGGAATTGCAACAAACAACTATCACGCCAAGATGAATAACAAGGAAGCAGAAAAGATTATCCAACTAGAAAATGATTATTTCTTAAGCAACAATTTCGACCCTATGAGCGATCATTACTATTCAAAAGAGAATAGCTTTGTGCCAGGCCCCAGTGGAGATTTCGGTTGTATTTTGGATTACAATTCCATCAATTTGAAAGATAAAAATCGGATTAAGTTATATGTATCGAATATCCCTGAAGAGTTGACTGACAGAGGCTTGAGGAATATATTTCAGAGTTATGGAGATGTCATAGAATCATGTATTAGACATGCGGAGAGTGGGCATAAATATGGTTTTGTAAATTACAGTCACTTAGATACAGCAGTGGCTGCAATGCATGGTTTGCATTTGAAAGCACCTCATCGATTTGTCATCAAATTTTCTGACAGTAACATAGCAACGCCTGCAGAAGATATTAAGCATGAACCTTTGAAACCATTAATTCATGAAATAACTTATCGAGACCCTCTTCTTCCATTAGTCTTATCAGACGCTAGAAAGAAATTTTTGAACAGTGATTTTTATAAGAGTATCAAAGAACCAGAAAAAGCACATAATAGGTTGATTCAAAAACTTGCCAAGAAGCCTAATGATTTTTCTAAAAGATATTTGACACAAAGGAAAAATATTAGTAGTCTTAGTGATGCAGAAATATCAGCTCCCTTCGAAGTGAATAAAGAATTTGAATACAATTCATGCAACTATTGTCAAGAACCAGCTGCATACATATGTAATATATCACGTGTTTATTATTGCTCATTATATTGTCAAGAGAAAAAAACTGCAAAATCAGTTTAAAATGTAATAGAAGAATACTTTCATCTTTCATAGTATTTATCTAATCATACTTATCATACTAAGGCTTTTCATAGCCTTATATAATCATGAAGAAAACAACTTTTGATTGAGCTGATTCATCTACATTTACAAAACAGATTTTTTGATTTCAAAGATGTAATAATTCTTAAATTGCTTGACATACTAAGAGCATTTATACAAAGCATTATTTGGCAATACATCATTAATTATTATATGAAAGGAAATTTTGAGAAACATTTGCTGGAAAATGAAGATATCTTAAATCGAGGTGTGTTGAAATCTTGACTTGGAACTTAATACCTCTAGAACATCAACTTCTATAATGTTCAATGATTATATAGAGCTTAATCAAATGATCAAGAACTAAATCACATAAATCTTATTGCCAAATATGGTTTCATTTCAGTTTTGAAATCTATCATTTATATCAATATCTAGATCATTTATATATAGGAATTTCAGATAACATGCATTTTTTGTTAATAGATTATAGATGTATATGTGTGAGATGATTTATTAAACATAATCTCATAATTAAGTTCTTTTTCATTGTTATTTAAACCATATCCATGAAGATATCATATTCTATTATAGAATTTGAACTATTAAACTATTTGTTCAGAAAACAAAAACCATGTTTCATTTATGTAAGTATTCAGCAAATATACAATACCAGGTAAGTATTTCCAAACTCGTGTCATATAAATGATTTCATTACATTTAGGAACAGTTTTTGAAACTAAATTTTAAAACTGAGACAGTTATGTAGTTCAGTAAACTAATGAAAATTCACATGCAAATCATAATTTTAAACTACACTATTAAATGTATATAATAGCAACTAAAGAGTAAATATTAAAATGATATTAGAAATAATTAACTACGATGCAGATTAAATTCAAAACTGAGCTAAACTGAACTAAATTGACAGAGAGTTCAAAATAAAATGCAAATGGCGACCTGTCAATTCTGGAATGCAAAAAAGCGCGAAATTTGAGCGACTCTGAATTATTAAATTTTACTTTAAGTATACTGAAATACACTGATTATAAATATGTCATTACAACTACATTATTATAAATATTTCAAAGTCTTCATTAATGAATTCTTTAAAGTAAATATCAATGAACTTCAAATATATGTTAAAAAATACTGATACAACACAGTTATTTAATTATAATTAATCCATATAATATATTCATGCTTATTGTTATTTTATAGTATATGACAGAAAAGAAATTTCTTCGCTACGCTTTGGTATCTGTTCTTTTATGAAGTATTAATTATCTATTAAAACTCGTACTACAACTACACAATTTTATAACATTTTGGAAAAATTGCATTTATTTAAAAACAATAAAACCACTTTAATTCTTCGTGATGATTACATGCATTGTTATATGATTTGAATATACTTGTTTCATCCGAGTGTTAGCACTCAATTTAACTAATACTTTGCTATTATAATACAATAAAATATGGTTTATTCTTATAAATTTATAATCCATCAATAAAAGACGAGGATTTTATTATTTTGTTATTTACATAGAAATAAGTATACAGTAAATTAAAAATATATAGTATTGGATCTAAAAATTAGCAAACATGTACAAAAATACTTGAAACTTAATATTAATATAAAATAATTAAAATTGATGTAAATAGCTTAAAAATACTTTAAAGATAAATACTTGACGGGAATTCAACACTCTGATAGCACACTTCAATAACTATTCGAATTATTCCATAAAACATGTACTTGTAAATGTACATAGCTTAAAAATACTTTAAAGATAAACACTTAACAGGAATTTAGCACTCTGATAGTACTCTTCAATAACTATTCAGATTATTCCATAAAACATGTACTCTTCATTTTAATATTTAGATTCAATTTGCTATTCTTTTCTTCACTGTTTTTTTATTTTTTTCAAATTTACGTGCAAAACTTTCTGATCTTTTGTCACTTAAGCTTTTTACAAATTCTTCTAAACATTCCTGAAGTAAGGTTTGGATAATGGTCTCCGTCTGAGATTCCTAAAAAGTGATGATTAGAAATAGAAATTAGCTTGATCAAAGGATAGATAATAGTTATAAATGTATAGTACATATAAACTACATATGTACATATAAAATAGTACATACAAATTATTGGGGTGGTCAACTATTTTTTGTTCAAAAAGAGAGACCACTTTATTTTCTTTTAAAAATATATCTTTCTTTTGAGAGGATTTTTGTTTCCAATAATAAGATGTTTATCTTTTAATGTAGCCACACTCAAACAACTTCTATTTTGCATATTAAATTAAACAGAAAAAAACGTCATATAACATTTTTACAGAAAGTTGTAGACTTCTCACTGCTTCAATAATTACCCTCTAAGAAAAATATCCTTTCAACAATAGCATTAGTGCCTGGACATCGTATATACAGTAATTATTTAGTAAAACTTATCAATTTTCATGAGAGATAACATTTCTCAAATTTTTTCCCTTTACACCTCTACAAAAAATTGTTTTAGGAATACAAATGAGTGTAAAATCATATAAATGACTATTCGAAGTGTACAGTTTGCAAAAAAGGTGTACAAAACACTGCAAAAAAGTATAGTTGGCCACCTTAATATTTATAAATCAACTCAGAAAGTTAAGGATATAACATTTACAAATGTTATAATATTTAGTTTCATTGCTGCAATATTTGAACAATATAATCAATATATTATCAACTGTTTATGTTGACCATAATTATAAATTACCGTTAATTCTGAGTACTTCCACCCCTTTCGAGATAAACAGCAATTAGAAGAATGTTTTTTGTGCTCTTTCCAAGGATCATCCGATTCTTCCCATCCATCTAGTTCCTTATTGCAAACGAAGCATACTGCTAAATCATATTGCTTTACATCTGGCATATAAAATCCAGCTTCAGCCATCTGAAAATCAAGATTCTTGATAAAATTTGATCATCAATTTTAAACTTCAAAATCATAATATGTGAACCTTTTCAGCTGAACAGTTAGAATCGTCACTAAATGGCCATTTAATAAAGGTTTTAAGGCGTTCTGATTTTAGTAAATATTTCAAACGTAGTGTTTGCTTTTCATTCATCCAATTCTCTGCTGAAATCATTATTCATCCAGCTCCTCGAATGTCTGTTGACCGCGGTTAAAACTGTTTGTGTTTAAGATGCTTGTTCACAATTTCTAAAAGTCTTTGACCCACACTAGATTTAAAAACGGGATTTGATAAAATAATTGTAAACACTATGTAATTAAAATATATTTGTTGATAATAAAATAATTATAAACATATTTTTATTATATATTGTCTATGGCTATCAACAACGAAAAGTCAATGACAGTTTTTCCTTAAAATATTTATGTTGCTAAGTGCAGCCAACTTAACGCACGAACAATTGTATTTGGAAGCCATCTGGTGTGTGAATATAACTTTATTTAACGGATTTCAATGGTTCTCAAAACACCCCCGAGGCAAATAAGAATTTATACTGGAGTTGAGTAACTCCGGAGTTATATCCGAGGATGATGATATAAATTATAATATAATAGTATAAATTAATTTATTTCATAGTAATGTGTCATGCTTTATCCATTCTTTTTCTTCAAAAATAATTATAAAATTGTTTTTGGTTCTCAAGCTTTCTGTTTTTACTTTGGTCAACTGCATAAAATATGAGCATTCAAAATATATGAAAATATTCAAAAGTTTATTATTGGACTATATTAGAGAATTCCACATAGCCGCAATCTTTGAATAACTTAAAATTTCAATTTCCCTTTAAAGGTTAACGGCAAAAATAGGAAAATGCAATAACAATATAATTATACAATAAACTTCATTATTATCTATCTCTATATTATGCCAACTGAATGAAATTCTTATTTCTTTCTTCATACTTTTACAAATTATTCTTGCCCATATTATCTTGATCCTAATCTTAGTTGTTATAACTTAATAGAATTAACAGTAAATAATAATTTGTGTTCTTAGAATCATTTTATTAATACAATAAACAATCTCTTTATAATATAGAATACTCTAATTTGGTTACCACAGTCTTTTCACATCTGTTGGAGCCACAGAACAATTTAAAAAATTTTGCTCTTGGCTTTGTGATACCCTGTAAAATTTGTGAGAATTATTAATTATATACCTATACTGTCTTATTAGTTATTAATCTAATAATATTTTCATAAAAAGTTGATCAATTATACTAACTTGTTGTTTTCAGACTCTCTACTTTCTGTTGATATTACAGAACATGTATCACCTAGAGTCCTTAAATCCCTCTGCATCATTTTCATGAGTCTTGTGCAATCTTGATCGAGTTTTAATGCATCTGGTGGAGGAGCTTCTGGACTTGCTAATAGAACTGATAATCTGCAATTGATGAAGCAATTTAACAGTTTGGGTGAATATTGGGTGAATCATATTTTTAATCATTATTGAGGAATAACTAACTTGATATTAAACTGATCTATTCGTTTTTCTAATTCTGCTTGATAATCTGAAATATGTCTAAGCAGATTCCACCGACATTGTTCATTGTCTATTGCTTCTTCTGGTACAGGAGCAGTGTTTGTTATCAATACTGAAATATAAAAATTTAATTAAAGTTAGGTTTTTTCATGTTATCTATAATAGATAATTATAAATTAATAATTATGTGAGCTCTTTAAAATTTTTTTGAAAGCTTATTTTAAATAAATAAAATCATGGCACTAATAAATATTTAAAAAAAAAAAAATTCATTTATACAAATAAATCTGTGACTATTTTTTGTGTTCCATGATACTTTCATCTTAAATACAATGAATATCAAAAGAATTCTAAATATTAAAAAAAGAATTATCAAGGAAAGGATGGCAGTAAATTTACTTAAATAAAGTTTTCAGTAAGTATTAAAATATTAACTCAAGATATCATATTATATATAAGCTGATGAGTTCTTAGTTTATCAATTATCAATAATCTATTACCTTCCTGGCCTACAGTTTGAGCAAAATTCTCCAGCTCGCGATCACTGACTAGATCAAATTTTGTTCCACCTGGTGAAGCTAATAAAGGTGCTAAAAGATTCTGACTATCAGTAAGATCTCCTGAACTGGTTGATTTAATACTTGCTGCTGATTTTCCTGAATCCATTAACTTTGTGTCATCACTTGACATAAAACTTAATAGATCCATATTAATTTTACAATCTTCATCTTGTTTATTGCCTCTCATAGGGCTATTGAGATCATTTTCAGTTTTCATATCTCCTTCCAGAATGGAAACTAATTCTGAATCAGTAGGTATTACATGGTTGGATTCTAAAATAGCTGATAAGTCCAAAACATCGCTTTTAGCTAATGCTGCAAAATCATCCTTAGATTCTGAGTCCAAATTTAAACCACGACTTGGGGTTTCAGTGTTCATTAGAGTATTGTTACCTAGAAATAGCATTCATTTAATGAATATTTACTTTTATTTTGCTATAGACAAACAAATGCATTTTTTGAAAATAATTAAAAGTAGATTATATTCTTTATTTTATACATATTCATGTCATTTCTGAAAAGAAAGTCTAAAAATTTGTATATTCCAAACATACCTGTAGGTGTTAGTATGGTGTTATTAGCTGGATTTAATCTCGTATGGCTAGATAACATATCTACATCATTAGTACCTAAAAGTAGTTATAATTATATGTATGCACACACACACATATTTAAGTATATATATATATATATATATATATATATATATATATATGTATGTTACGGTAAATGTGCACTCTTGGTGAATATGCACATTCACCGATGAATGTGCGCATTCCCCAAAACACACTAGGTGAATGTGGAGTTCTCAAACAATCAAATTAAAATAATGGTGTACGTGGGTACTTGGATCGATCTCATGAACATCTTGCGTATTTGGCGCATGCGCACTAAATAGTTAACAGTACATAGCTGAATAGTAAAATAGTAATATAGTGTATAGTGAATAATTAATATTAAATAGTAAATAGTTAATTGTTAGTAAAATAGTAAATAGTGAATTTAGAACAGTTAAATAGTGAATAGTGAATAGTTAAATAGTGAATAGTTAATAGTTCAATAGTTATAGGTAAATAGTTAATAGTTTAAGTAACTAGTAAATAGTTTAACAGTTTAATAGTTAAATAGATGAATTGTAAATAGTGGATAGTTAATAGTAACTAGTGAATAGTAATAACTGAATAGTAAATAGTAAATAGTTAATAGTGATAACAGAATAGTTAATAGTAAATAGTGATAGTGATAACTGAATAGTTAACAGTAAATAAAGAATAATGAATAGTTAATAGTAATAGTAAATAGTTGAACAGTAAAATAGTGAATAGTGAATAATGATAACTGAATAGTTAATAGTAAATAGTGAATAGTGATAACTAAATAGTTAATAGTAAATAGTTGAATAGTAAAATAGTGAATAGTGAATAATGATACTGAACAGTTAATAGTAAATAGTGAATAGTGATAACTTAATAGTTAATGTAAATAGTGAACAGTGATAACTAATAGTTAATAGTAAATAGTGAATACTGATAACTGAATAGTTAATAGTAAATAAAGAATAATGAATAGTTAATAGTAAATAGTTCAATAGTAAAATAGTGAATAGTGAATAATGATAACTGAATAGTTAATAGTAAATAGTGAATAGTGATAACTAAATAGTTAATAGTTAATAGTAAATAGTTGAATATAAAATAGGTGAGTGAATAATGATACTGAATAGTTAATAGTAAAATAGTGAATAATTGTTAGTAAATAGTGAATAGTTGTTAGTAAATAGTGAATTAAGAATAGTTAAATAGGTAATAGTTAATGGTTAAATAGTTAATAGTTATATGAATAATTAATAGTTCATCGTTAATAGTTAATAGATAAATTGTTAATTGATAAATAGTTATAGTGAAATAATAATGGATATTCTATGCATAAGACTAAAACTAAATTATAAATATAAATATAAATATAATTATAAATATAATTATAACTATAATTATAAATATAAATATAAATATATGAATTAGTATTTCACGCCATGCGCGAGTTGAACTCGCATTCGCAAATGAGCCGGTAAATGTGCACATTCACCGAAATATGCACATTTACCGTAACATATATTACATATATATATATATATATATATATCTATATAATAAATAATGCATATATTATATAAATACATATACAATATTTAGCAGATATATGCCACAAGTGTAAAAAAACAACAAGAAATTCTCAGTACTAAACAAATTGCTAACTGTTAATTCTATTACAAACAAAAATGTTACCTGGTTTATTCATATTCTTGATTTTAATAAATTCATTCTCTCTATCCTAGCGCCAAGAAGTTCACTCTCATTAACGGCATTACATAAATCTCTTTGAAGAGCTTGCAGTGTAGGTGATATTTCATTATCATCTTTGAATCGAGAATTATTTGTTGGACTTTGGATCTTGATTTGCATCCCTAGTATCATTATTCATGTCACTATACTTTCCCCAAGGTTTAGCCCAATAATAAAATTTCGGGTGATGTGTTTTGCCTAAAAATTAAATCAGTATTATATATTTACCAATGGATTAATGGAACACATCACATCAACAATTAATATATCTTAACTTACATGGCCATAGATAATTTAGCTCTTAGTGATTTTAATACTGGCATAAGTTCTAAGGCATTGCCAGTGGTTTCATGAACACACTTAGTAAATTCTTGTAGATTTGTTATGTTTTGTTTCTGTGCAGATGTTTTTAAGTTCAGGTCTTCTGTTATAAGTGAGGTAAAACGACCTTCTAATACCATTCTTGATCATGAATATATCTAAAATAATATTTGATCATTATCTGAACACATATAACTTGAAATACACTTAACATCACATTGAAAGAATGATTTTGCTTTAAATGATTAATGTAACATTAAAGAATCACATAATAATAAAAAGTTGTTCTAAACTATTATATTACTATTTTAAGTAATCATACACTTCTCACTTTCTAGACTGTCTTGGCTTTTGGGGATTAGTACAAATTGCACAAACATATTTGTCCGGAACATCTCGTTCCCTTTGAATACCATGACATAATGCATGTTGCCAACAAAGACAGAGTTCACACTGAACCTAAGTCCATCTTCTTCTCGGTGTCCACAGATACAATTAATAATTTCCTCTCTTCGCATTCGCACCAACTTAATTTCTTCGCCATCTAGGGAGAAAAAAAAATATCAATACAGCATAAAGTACAATATGTGAATATAAAAAATCATGCAAGAATATAATTCATTATTTTACAATTCATACTGAAATATATTACTCAAAACATTGAAAAATAAAATGATCTTAAGATGATCATTTCTAAAAAAATTCTTATAAATTTAGATTTTTTATTTTAATACCTTTTTTTATCAACATTGCATGTAACATATACATGTTAAAACTTCCATAATAAATAAACATGCATTATGTTACAAGAATATTAAAGAATTTTCAGCATATTGATTTAACAAGAAACAACAAATTACATAAGATAACGAATATAAAAGATACATGCATAATAATTTTTGAAAAAAAAAATTTCATTCACCGTTAACTTAAATCTTATAATTAGTAAATTGATTCAACCAGATTCAAGGACAGATAGAATAGTGTATTCAATAATTAGAGAATATTAAATCCCTTTTCACAAATCAAATATATTACAGTTAAATAAATTATGTAAAAACAGAAGATTCATTAATTGCCAAAAATAAATTTGCAAAATATATGTTCAAATGAATTAATATAAATACAAATTCTGAAAACAAGTATTTGAATTGAACTCAAACCTGGTTATTATCAAATATAATGTTTTCTCTAAGTATCTCTTTTATACAGCTGAAAATTCAGCAATAATTCTGCTAATAAAATACATTGATATTTTATCATGACTATAAAAATTTACAGTGTAAACATTCACTAAAACAAATTAAAAAAAATTAATAAAAGAAATGTTCGTCAAAAATTTATTGATAAAACTTGTGTAATATGAGATGAGTAAGAGAAAATACGCAAGAAATAAAATACTAAAAAATTTTGAAAGTTCATGTAAGACAAAAAAAAGTTACCATACTATTTGCAGTAAAAAATCATAGCACATTGTTAAAATGCATTATTATATGTTTAGCCAAACGACATACTAATCAATAAAAATAAACTATAACAACCCAAAAAATATTCTCACACAGAAATTTTCTGACCTTGCATAACCACTGGCAGCATTGAATAAAAAATATGATGATATTATTTACATTTTATGCACAAATGAATTTAAAAAAAATATCCAAGAAATATTCTTTTATGCGTGATTATCTCAATGTGACGAATGACAACTGATCAATGCATATGAATATAAAAAAACATTAAAACGAATTGAAAACACTTTATATGATGTTTCAATCAAAGCAAATCTATATAATATATAAGTATTATATTTCATTTTGATACATTTAATAGTGTTTTTGCTAATAGTTATGCTACTTTTGTTCTATATGGAATGTTTTAAAGATGCCACAAAATAAAGCTATATGCAGAGAATGATAACATCGAACTCTTATTTGGTCTTATCAAAGCTCTAAGTATTCATAATGATTATTGAACTCCATTATTTTATTGTTAGTACAGAGTATAATTTTCGGTATAATTTTTTATTTAATAAATATTATTATATAAATTTAAGCAATAAATAATATGCACTCCTCAAATAGTAGATGTGTGCCCTCCCCTATTTCATATAATTATAAGTGGCATTTTGCCTTAAGGCAAGTTGCATGAACTTAAAATTAAAAATATTAAAACAGCAGAAATAATTGCAACATATTTGCCTGATCTTCCATTGATTATTTTGTCTTATAAAAAATGATTCTTATAAGAGTGTATTTATAAATGAGATCACAATTGTGAATTAATTTGTGAAATGAAGCTATGCCAATTAAAAGTAGTTGAACAAAAGCTTTTAATATAGCAATAATAAAATTATTTTATGTAATTTTCTAAAAGCCAAACTTACCCTCATTGATATAAACTTTTGGAACTCGAGTGCAGGATCAGCCGCTTCTACAGCTTTGTTGGTGTCTGACGTATTATTGAGTGTATTTTCAATAGGTGCTTTTGAAATATCTGTTGACATACTAGATCTGCGCTGCTCCTCTTCATTTTAACATGCACTGGGCTATGGATAAAATTACATTAGATATAATACAATACTTTACAAAAGTCAAGCAAAAGCAAAATAATTATATAACTAAAAATTATTTGTAAAAACAAAACAAATATATATTTATTTCTTTTTAAATTCAATGATTTAAATTTAGATTTGCATTAAAATTGAATATGAAAATATCTTAATATACATATACTAAATAGAGTAAATTTAAAAAACATAGTTATTGCTTTGTTCTCCTTTTAATTAATTTTACTGAAAAAATAAATGGTATTAACATAGTTCTTATATTAGTCTACTTAAATGTTGATTATAAATTGTATGCACAAAAACTCACTCTATTGTATCGTGTTCTTCTTTTATCATTGGACGCCCACTCTTTTTCATAAGTTGTTTATTTTGGCTACGTTTCAAATTTTTGTATTA